CCGGGTTAGTTTGGTTAACAAACGGCTCTCCTTGGTAAAAATGTAAACTGGTAGTTTATGGAATCCAGGAGAAGTGATGCTGGTAAAGGATTTGCAGTAAAGCAGAGTCAGATCCAGGCAGTTTGCAGGGAAATGGTCGTTTCCTCCGCCTGCCTCCCCCTGTCCCTTTGGATGGACATTCCGAAAGGAGCGAGACACAGAGCAACGCCCTGAGATAAGGGAGGAAATCCCTTTCAGCTTCGCAGAAACACATCCAGGGGGGAGATATCTTCCCCCCCAAAAAAAGAAAACAAATCATGCAAAGACTTATCTTGTGTAATTGCACCGCTGACTTAAAAGCCTTTTCTTCCCAGTGGAGGTGAACAAATCTCTGGAAATGCCAGAAGAAAGAGATTGTTCATATAAACACATACATTTCCAGGGGAAGTTTACTCTTCCTATAGCCAGAGGATGTTTACTTTTCTAGGAAAAAAAAAAAAAAGAGCATGTTAAAACCTTTCCTCCCTTCCACTTCATCACCCGGGACCAGACATTCCTGGTTCCAAACACGGGGCAGTCGTGGTTGTATCTGCAAGGGAAAAATAAACACAGGAATAAACAGAAAAGGCTGAGGGAGAGCTCAGAGGCTGGAAATTCCCTGGCTGGGGCAGTGACACGGGCAGGGGATGTGTCAGCTCAAAAAAGAGCCTCTGCAGACGAGCGTCCTGATGCTCCTAAATATCCCGAGGACCAGAGGCCGAGATCTCCCTCCCTCCCTCTGCTCCTGGAGCCCACCGGGAATGTGGCTGGAATGTTCAGGGAGCTGTTCAGGAGCTGGGCATGCTCGCTCCTGGTTTGCCCCTGAGCGGGTTTTAGAGATCCAGAATCGATGGCAATGATTTTTGAGTTGGGTTTAACACGGTCCTAATGAAGTTTAATGGAGGCCATTAAATAAATTGCCAAGCCCCAGCTCTATCCATCAGTGCACAGAGAGATGGGCATTGGGAATAAAGAATATCTCCTTGATTTTATGACCACTTAACGAGCTCCTGCAGCATTCAAATGAAAAATAAAAAAAACCAAACAACAAAAACTGCTCCCATAACCAGGGGCAATTCCAGTTAACCAGTCAATCACACCTGGTTAAGTGCAGGGGGAACGGGAAACCCAAGCAGCAAAATCCACATTAAGGATGAAATTAGGGAAATGTTGCAGCTCTAATGCTTAGGGGAGGATTCCAAAAGCCTCTGTTTTGGGCAGGCTTAGCAAAAATGTTACCTGTAAGGTAATGGATAGGGATGGTGACAGAGAGGTTTTAATTAAGGTCTTGTTTGTGCACCAAGTGAAGAGGACAAGGAAGGCCAAAATGCCAGGAATCCAGGTCCATCAGTCCCAAATAAACATCTTCTCAGGGGCACCTCTGGCCCTTCTGCTCACAGAGCAGGGATTCCAGCAGGTCTGAGGATGGGGAAGGAGAACCCCAACGAGGCTGGGAGTTCAGTTTTCAGGCAGAGGGTGGTGGTGACTGGGAAAGTTCCCTTCTGCCTCCTCCTGGCTCTGACGTTCCTGCAGCTCCCGAGACTCTTCCTGGCGCTGCAGCCAAGAGGAAACCACCATAACCAAAACCAGAGACTGGCAGGAACACAGAATCCCTGAATGGCTTGGATTGGCAGGGACCTTAAAGATCATCTCATTCCATGGGCAGGGACACCTTCCACTAGCCCAGGTCGCTCCAAGCCCCGTCCAGCCTGGCCTTGGACACTTCCAGGGATCCAGGGGCAGCCACAGCTTCTCTGGGAATTCCATCCTAGTCCCTTCCCACCCTCCCAGCCAGGAATTCCTTCCCAATCTCCCATCTGTCCCTGCCCTCTGGCAGTGGGAAGCCATTCCCTGTGTCCTGTCCCTCCATCCCTTGTCCCCAGTCCCTCTCCAGCTCTCCTGGAGCCCTTTTAGGCCCTGGAAGGAGCTCTAAGATTTCTCTCCAGAGCCTTCACTTCTCCAGGCTGGACAATCCCAGTTCTCTCAGCTTTTCCTCCATCCCTCTGATCATCCTGGACTTGCTCCACCACCTGCACATCCTTCCTGTGCTGGAGAGCCCAAAGCCAAAAAAAAAGAAGAGCATCTCAGGAAAAGCCACTCGTGCTCTTCACCAAAATTGCTGCAGGTTCACTCAACTGAACCAAAACAAAACAAAAAAAAAGGCTTTAAAATGAGGAATTAGGGATCATCTTGAGCGCGTTCCTTCCTCTCTGAGGGAAGAATTTAATCAAAGCCAGCTGCTAATTACTTTCCTGACACCAGGGGAGAGGAATGTTGGCATCCCAAAGATCTGGGAGATTTTCGTGATTAATATTTGATAAATCTGTAATTGGACTGTTTGATTTCTGCAGCCCCCTTTGAATGGAGGTAGAAACTCGATTGAAATGAGTCTTTACGAATTCAGGCCACAAACTTCAGGGGGTGATAACTCGCTGATTGATTGGAGTATCTGCAAGTGCTCACCCTGGAGAGGAGAGGAACTGGGATTTGCCTCAGGACAAGTCAATACAGACTGCTTGGAATCCAGGGGGCTTCCTATTAGAGGAAATAAATTCTGTAAAGAGTTAAAGTTGAATTTCTCCAGCATTTGGTTGTTTTGTTTTTTTTTTTTTTTTTTTTTTTTTTTTTTTTTTTTTTTTTTTTTTTTTTTTTTTTTTTTTTTTTTTTTTTTTTTTTTTTTTTTTTTTTTTTTTTTTTTTTTTTTTTTTTTTTTTTTTTTTTTTTTTTTTTTGCTGAAGTTCAGAGATTCAACATGAATATTTAATTTAAAAGCAAATGCCAATTAAGTGTGCTAACATGGAATTAATAAAATAGTTGGGTGGTGTGCAATGGTGAGCAAATGTTCTCGAGAAAGAGTCCAAAAATCAAAATTGCAACGTTATAGCTCCTTAATACATCATAGTGTTTGGAACTGGATATAATAATTTCCTCTTGATCCCCATCAAATAAAGCCAAAACTTTATTAAATGCAATAAGAACGTTGCAGGCTGAATATTACGACCACAAAACCAATTTCTTGCTCTGAATTTGAACTATGGAGTGATATATTGAAAGCTTTTATATATTATTATATATTGAGACCTGGTTTATGCTAATAAAATTATAAACCAGCAGCAAAGCCAAACAAATGTCCAGAAATATTTGGTTTTTAAATAAAGTACATTAAAGGTCACGTGCAGAGGATCACTGAGGGATCTGAATGCCCCACCTTTTATTCTGAACAGATTAAAAGTTCCTTTTTCTTGACCAGCTTGGAACTAAACAGCAAAGAAATGGAAAAAGAAAAAAAAAAAAAAAAGAAGAAGAAAGAAAGAAAGAAGAGTTTTAATCCTGGTATTCTGAAGTGGTTTGTCTAGTGCAGCAAAACAGCTTTTATAGGAGCTGTAAAGCAGATTTGGGACTGGGCACCTCTCCCCCCGATATTTTTAATTCAGCATTTAAATAAGTTGCATTAGCATGCACAGCACTCCCCACAGATGCAAGTGGGGAGGTTTTGTGGGGTTTTTTTTGCCTCAAAGAGCTGGTGATTCAGATGAAATCACAATATTGAACAAAGCCACAAAAAAGGTACAGTGAGAACAATGCCCAGCCTTGAGCTGCCCACAAAGCTTCTGCCTTCCCTTTCCAGCCCTGCCAGGCTTGGAGAAAAGGAGAAATAAAGGGTGGTTGGTGCTGGGCAAACACAAAACACTGGACTTGAAGACAAAGAGGAGCAGGTTGTTCAGCAAGAATGTTTTTAAGGGGCTGCTCTGGACTCAACAGCAGAAAATCCGTGGATGGTTCTGTTGGAAAAGCTGAAAAGGTGTGGGGTGTGAGGAGTCACTGGGGAGAAAGAGAGTTCTGAAATGGTTTGGGCTGGAAGGGAGCTTGGAATCATCTCATTCCACCCCTTGCCACCTTCCACAGGCCCAGGGTGCTCCAAGCCCCGTCCAACCTGGCCTTGGACACTTCCAGGGATCCAGGATTCCATCCTCCTATGGAATGATGGATAAGGTGCTTGAAGTGATGATGAGAAAGGAGGAGCTAAAACGCTCCTCCCTACAAATGCGGGACAAAACGTGTCGTGTTCCAGGTGATATTAAAAAAACCTACAAAGCTCTACACGTGCACAGGGATCAGCGCTCAGACTTTTGTGTATATTCAACAATACTTCGTGGATAACAATAAGCAATTAACAGCAGGTACAGAAATTAACAGAAGGGACCCCCCAGGACCATCCAGCCCAACCCCCGACCCTGCACAGACACCCCAACAATCCCACCCTGTGCCCCCAGAGGATCATCCCAACCCTCCTGCAGCTCTGGCAGCCTTGGGGCTGTGCCCACTGCCTTTCTCCCTCCCCCCAACAAAAAAGGAAAAAAGAAAAAGCAATCAACAACAAAAGACACTGAAGGTTTTTATTCTTATATTCTACAACAGCTCTCTGAGGTCTCGCCTCCGAGCCCCGGTGTTGTGGCAGCAGTGACACCGCTGCTCCTCATTCCCGGGGATCCCCCGCGAACCGCGGAGGTAGAAACACCCCCCTCTTAATTCCCTCCATAGCAAATCCCCTTTGCCAGGAGAAAACCCCCTTTTCTCCCCGTTTCCAGGAGAAAAGCCCCTTTTTCTCCCGGTTTTCCACTTAAGCATCCCCGTGAGGGGATGGGGGGGGGCCGGGGCCTGAGCGCGGTTGACGCTCCGTGACCGCCCCCTGGTGCCCCCGGCGGGTATTGCAGCGCCGCGCCCGCCGACCCACCGCCGCCGCGCCCACGGGCACCCACGCCGCGCCACAGCACGGGGTAACACCGGCCTGAGGCCGCCCGAGGGGCCGCCGCGGCCCCACCGGGACCGTCCCCGTCCCGTCCCCGCCGCCATCACCGCTTCCCTCCCCGAGCCTCCTCCTCAGCCCCGAGCAACCGAGCGCCGAGCGGCTGATTCCGGCTGCTTCTGCGCCCGCCTCCAATCGAGGCGTCGGCGGCTCGGCTGGCCGGGGCTGGGAGCGCGCGGCGCGGGCGTGGCGGCGCCATTTTGCAGGAAGAGGTGAGAGGGGCCGGGGGTGCTCCGGGATCGCTCCCTGATTCCCCCCCTAATTCCCTTTTCCCGGCGCTCTTCCATCTTCTTGTCGCCTGTCCCCGGTAGCCCCGGCCCTGAGACACCGGGCATCGCTGCCGGGGCAGCGCGGGGGCGGCACTGGGGGGGGATCGGCCGTGAGAGGGGTCCGGGGCGGCGGAGTCCAGAGCCTTCCCTCCCCCTTCCTTTTCCCTTTCCTCTCCCTTCTCTCTCCTCTTCCCCCTTCCTTCCTCTCTTCTTCTTTTCCAGGGGTATCCGGGCCTGTCGGGGAGAGGAGAGCGGCGTCTGCCATGGCCAGTGTGAGTGACGGCGATTCCCGCGGATATCTCGGGAATTGTCCGGCTGAGGGTTCCGTGGAATCCCTGACAGGTTTGGGGTGGGAAGCACATCAAGATCGTCCAGTGCCACCTTCCACCAGCCCAGGTTGCTCCAAGCCCCGTCCAGCCTGGCCTTGGACACTTCCAGGGATCCAGGGGCAGCCGCAGCAGAATAAAACCCCCTTTATTGGTTGATTTTTTTGCCACGGAGCCATGAATAATTCATTTTTTTTCAGCGCTGTTTTCTCGCTCGTGTAACGCCAGGTGTGTCAATATTTGCATGAGCGAGCTCAGTCGTAGCTGTAATTAATGGCATCTCCATGCTAAGTGAGCGTGATTATATATATAAAAAAGGCTCCTTTCTTGTAATTACGTGTCAGCTGGAATTGTTTACATTTGTTTATGATACAATCATTATGCAGAAATTATTTCGGGAGTTTTACATAACAGAGAAAAAAAAAAAGAACTCAAACGGCATCAGATTTTTGGTGTGTTAAAGGAAGCTTTTAAATCCCTGTTATAACCAAGCAGTTTAAGGCTTTAAATAATTGATTCAAATCATAAGTTAAATGCTTCTCGAAGCATTTGAGCCTTTATGATGTTAGCAGAACTTATTTTATGTTTACACAGAGGTGGTGTGGGAGAAATTGGTGCTTTTATTGCCTTAAGTGCTGACTGTTTAAACACAGTTTTTATGTTAAACATACAAATAGCACCATTTACTCCCTTCTTTTGAAGCAACAGAAATATTTAGTGGTAAACAGGTGCATAAATATTTATGGACTCAAAGCTGCAGCGCTTGAGGAAAATCCTTTTTGTGTCATTTTCTCAAAATAATTTCTCTCCCTCACCTGGAAAAGAGAATTTTACAAAAAAACCCCCACACCCTGTGGTAGGTGATATTTAATTTTTCCAGTAATACCTGCAAAATTTGTGCCATTTTGTCAAACAGCAGCAGTTTTGTGCTGGAGTTTAATCTTAATTTTTTAAGATTACGCTCCTAACTCTCCATCTGGAGCGTTTGGTTGATTGTTTTTCTGTTCTGAGCGTGGAAATGCAGCTTGAAAGTTGTCAGTGGGTTTGTAAAGCAGAAAAAATAGGTCAGAATTCTCTTTTTAATGGCACCACCTTCTTAAAAAAACCCCAAAACAACCACAAAAAACAATAACAGATGCTTGTGTTATTCCTTAAAATATTGTCATTAGGCTTCAAAGTTAATTTTGAAAAAGAATAATTAACTAATGTCGAAAATTCACAATAATTAACAGCATTTCAAAGTATTTCTGGTAATCACCCCCATGGTGGAAGTTGTGATAATCCTGCAAACAGTGACAGGCGTGGAAATAATCCTGGAAACGACCCCCATCCATAATTTACTTTAAGTTGTGGTGCTTTTTCAAGTTTTCAGGGCTTTTTCTTTCCCCTTCACGTGAGTAGTGTGTTTTTTATTTTGAAGATTTTTACTGGGAAAATATAAAAATAATAATCCAAATTTGATCCAGTCTAAAACCCGATGCTGCAGTTGATCATCACTAAAGGTGTAATGGAATTCTGGAGTGGGAATTTTTTTGGGCTGGTTAAACTCTGATTTTTTTTTTGTTTTGTTTTTGGGGAGCAGTTTGTAACTGTCCTTTTGTGTTTTTTTGTCTTCCCAGGTGCTCTGTACCAGAGCCAGACTGGTCACCTACCTGCCAGGCTTCTATTCCTTAGTCAAGAGAGTTGTCAATCCCAAGGCGTTTTCCACAGCAGGCTCCTCTGGCTCAGATGAGCCTCACGTGGCTGCTGCACCCCCTGATTTGTGTAAGGAAAAGCCAGTTCCTTCCCTTTGGACCCCTGTGCTGTCAGAACTTTGCACTCCAGAGGCGTTTCTGGGTGTGCTTTTTATGGCAGGGCCCTGATTTGGGCCTTGGGGTCACTCTGGGAACAAATATTTGTGTGGGGGAGGGGGTTTTGTTGGGTTTTACCCCCTGGTTTTTTTTTTTTTGGTTGTGGTGATTAAAGCAAGGCCTTGGCTCCTGCAGGTCCAAGGACTGTGTGGCCAGATGAAGTGATGGGTCCCTTTGGGCCTCAGGATCAGCGATTCCAGCTGCCTGGAAACATTGGCTTTGACTGTCACCTCAATGGCACCGATTCCCAGAGGAAAAACCAAGTTTCCAAGAGCCTCCCTGATATTTTAGCAGAGCCCTCAGCGGGTGAAAGGCACGAATTTGTGATGGCACAGTTCATCAATGAGTTCCAGGTAAGAACAGAATCCTCCTGTCTTGTCCCAGAGGAACAGAACTCATCCCTCTTCCCTCCTGAAAAACAAATAGTGTGGATTTTCCTGGTGGATTTTCAGCTGGACTGAGCAAGAACCAGAAGCAAGGTTTTTTGTTTTAGGAGAAAAAAAGCGTTTCAAGGTGTGTTTTGAAATAGCATTTTTAGAACTGGCTTAATTGTGTGGATATGGGAGAACTTCAGTTTCCAAAATTTCAGTAGAAAGAAATACTTTGTTTTGAAATAGCATTTTTGATGTGACTTAATTTTGTGGATATGGGAGAACTTCAGTTTCCAAAATTTCAGTAGAAAGACTATATTTCATTGAAATATTTCATATTTCGTTGCTGTTGGAAGTAGTATTTTAGAAGTGACTTAGCTCTGTGGGTATGGGAGAGCTTCAGTTTCTAAACTTCAGGTAGAAAAATTGACTTCAGGATATGTTTTGAAAAATAGCATTTTGAGGGATTTAAGTCTATGGGTATGGGAGAGCTTCAGTACCAAAAATTTCAGTAGAAGGAGTTATTTCATTGCTAATTGGAAGAGCATTTTAGATGTGATTTAATTCAGTGGATATGGCAGAACTCCAGTTTCAGAACTTTTAGTTTAAAACATTTCAGGGTGTGTTTTGAAATAGCATTTTTGATGTGAATTATATAGATATGAAAGAACTTCAATTTCAAAGCTTCAGGTGGAAAGAAATATTTCATTGCTATTGAAATAGTTCTTTTAGAAGTGACTCAGGTGGATATGGCAAAAAAATGGCTCCCACTTTTAATATTTGAAAATTGTGAAATCTGATTGCAGATCATCTTCGTGTGGAACAAATGTATCTGGATGTTTCGTCACCAAAACATAGCCTACAAAGTTATCCCTGTGATCATATTAAACTGAGAAAGCTGCAATTTTCCCTTTTTTTTTTTTTTTCAGGGTGCTGATGCTCCACAGAAGCAGCAAATCAATAATGCTGAGACCTACTTTGAAAATGCCAAGGTGGAGTGTGCAGTCCAGGCTTGTCCTGAGCTCCTAAGGAAAGGTGGGGGGGGTTCACTTTCATTTCTAGAAATCACCATTTTTTTAAAAAAATATATTTTAAAAAAATATTTTAATTTTTATACTTAAAAAAAATATATTTAAGTAAATGCTCTGTGACTGATGCCACAGGATGTAGGATAGAAAAGGGTCATCCAGAGTTAATATTTTGCCAAAACACACCATATAATAAACCCCAAAACTTTTCCTGTTGACAATATTTTACTATTTCATAGAAAATTCGGTGCCATTTATATTTCAGATCAGCTGGGGCAGGGAACAACTTCCAGCTGCTGCTTTGGTGTCAGGTAGATTCTGGAGCTAATTCACTCTCCAAAAAACCAGTTACCAAAATGTTTTGGCAACAATAAAATAGCAAATGGAAATGGTGGCATTTCGTTGTATCTTTGATCAGCTCAAGAAGGAAAACACTGAAATTAAATTGGAGTAAAACCTATTTTAAGAAGGAAAGAGGCTGAAATCTGGCTGAAGTGGGTCCATAATTTGTCTAAACCAGAAGGGAACCCAAGGGAAATGCAGGACCAGAGCCTGACCTGGTGGTTTCTCTCCCTGCAGACTTTGAATCCATGTTCCCAGAGGTGAGTCCCAACCGCCTGACCGTGTTAACTGTCACCCAGAAGACCAAAAACGACATGACTGTGTGGAGCCAGGAGGTGGAGGATGAGAGGGAGATGCTCTTGGAAAATGTGAGTGC